TTTGCCTGACCACTCATCCATGCCATAAACCGAGCCATACAGACGGCCGAGCACATTCTCAGAATTGAATGTCAAAAATTTCAGCTTCCTAGCTTACTCCTCATATATATATATATATATATATGTATATATATATGTATATATATATGTATATATAATCCGGCACTAGTTCTGCAATGACCAGCGATATTAACTCAAGCACGCAGAAAGAAAATTACAACTCCAAACCTCGTGTGTTCGGAAACCACATAACAACTTTGTAATTTTCCTGGCTCCGGAATTATCAAAATTTCCTCTACATGAAAAAATCAACGATTGGCAGAATTCGAACAAACTTAGACAAACGTGGTGGATTTAAACTCCGATGTTTCAGGCTAAACTGCTTGTTCGCTTCTGGTTATGCTGAAATTCATCAGAAGCTGACATAAATTCATCTTCTAACAAGGCGAAAGTTAATTTTTGATTTACTGTGACTTAAACGAAAAGATATCTCATTGTAAATGAGTAGCGGCAACTTTCACATGTGGTTATATTGCTCAATACACATCAAGGACTTCTCGGAACAACTAAAGTTTTGCCATGTGCTTCTAAGTTAGGAATCCCATCCCTTCAGGAGATACAACGAACACTAGGAGCTCCAGCAAGCTGACCACTGGGCGATGCAGGATTGATAAAAGCAACTGAAAAATCTGTCAACTGCACCAAAAGATAAACTACTGCTCATCTAGGCATCCCAATTCCTGAGCTAATCGCTTTTTCTCCATGAAAGTGTAAAAATTCTAAATTCCTAAATGACAACAACTGACGAACAATTAAAAAATCTGCAAAATTTTTTCAGCAAACCGTACGACAAATGCCGCAAGGGTTCTATACATTCAAGTCACATCCATTCACTAACATTATAATAAGGAAGTAATATTTCCAAAATAACGGCATCTTAGTAAACAGATAAGTTAAACGGGGATGAGCCTACCAAGAAATACGGCTTTTCGAAGACAGACAAACGAGCGGAATTTGACACCCTTTCACCGACCATATTCGTTGCTACACACTGATAGAATCCGGCATCTGATCGCTGTACCTAAACATTAAAAAAAAATTATAATTTCATATAATGATTTTTTCAGTTCCAAAATGTTTTGTACAGGCTGGCAGAACACACAACTCTCTTTGCAAAAATATAAATAAGCACTTTTTTTTTTCAGCTTTCAGCGGGAAACTGTAACAAACAGTGTAGGCAAAGGTGCTTCATTGTGATGTACGGGAATTTGCTGTAGTATATTGATTCTTTCAGTTTCAAAATGTTTTTACAAAAATGTTCTCTAGAGATTTGATCAGTCCAACTAATTCTATAGTCTTTCGCCTTGACGGGTTAGCTTTTTTTTTCACATTTCTTTCTATCAGTTCCATCAGATGAAACCAGTTCCGCGCTCATAATTCCCTGCACATTTAACTCTTTGAAAAAGAGGAACACATTCGTCAGTGATTCTTGCTGTCAACCACTACCCGTCAAACCATCGATGACTCTCAATTCCAGCTGCCGCATAAACAAACCGACGAAAGGTCCGCGTCTTCAGGCATGCGAGGTGAGCCACAATCAATTCACAGGTCAAAACCAGCGAATAGAGTTGTAAAAAGATTGTTTTCCCTTAGCAACCATCTCGAAGCAAACAAAAAAAAAAAACCAGAAACATAGGGGAAGCTGATACATGCCGCCACACTAGTGCTACCAGTTGAGGTGACCGAGTGTATCCGATAATAATTGTGGACAAGCAGCATGCGCTGGAATGATAACCTTTTCAATGATGAGACTGCCACCCGGATGTAGCACGATCCCATCTTCATCCTGGGGACGCAATTCCCGTTCATCTTTGCGCCAAGAAACGACCGGCTCCGGAAATCCACGAGGTGGCGAACATTCCAGTACTGCTTTATTACCAATCACAGCCTGTAATTAGGCAAATTCGCCCAATGAACACAGCACTGGAATTTTATGCTATAAATGATCTTTCAAAATGAGAATAAACTGAATTGGCACACCAAAAGTGTTTACCAACAAATTCCATGTTATGCTGAGGAAGGGGATGGGGTAAGGCAAACATAGCAAAGGACTCAAGATAAAAAGAAAACTAATTTTCTGATTTATAAAAAATTTCCTGAAAAAAAAACGCATAAAATCTTGGTAACAAAATGAGCTGACTGGCCAGAGAGCTATGAAATCGTTGCCAAATT